TGGGTCTCTGAGTCAGAGTTAGCATAAGCCTCACAGGCCTTACGTAGGAAGTGAAATCTCCCGGATTCTGAACCAGTGCTCAGGGTTCATTTATAGTTTATGATTCCTTAACTCCAGAAGTTGGACTTCTGTAAAGTGAAATGTCCTCAGGAGTTGCTGAGAGCAGGTTGGATCAAATATGTTATAAACTGACTTGCTCACCACTGCTTTAAAGTAAGACTTAGCTATCAATTAAGCAGGAGTGCTCACTTACCCTTCTTCAATACACTTGAAGTATCTTACACATTAATATCTTTATGTCTGCATTGTTCTTTTCACTCATGTACATTCCAGGCTCTGATTACAGCGTCCTGTCCCTCCTCCCTCATTCTACAGCCACATTCTGCATCCATGGCCTGAGCAAGTGTTGCCTTCCTTTCTGCTTCTCTCACTCTTGGCTTCGCCAGTTGATCGGGCCAAGTCTTCAGTTCCTTTCTAGCCCATAAAACACCAGATTCTCATTTATGAAGTGAAAGAACCATAAGCACCATTTTGTCCTTAGTGGCTCCCACCAACTTTTGTGTGTGTGTGTGTGTGTGTGTGTGTGTTTTCTGGAGATTAAACCCAGGGGTGCTCTGCCACTGAGCTACATTCCCCAGACCTTTTCATTTTTAATTTTGAGAAAGGATCTCTATAAATTGCCCTGGCTGGCCTGGAACTTGTGATCCTCCTGCATCAGCCTCCTAAATAGCTGGGATTATAGATGTGCACCACTATGCCCTGCAGTCCCCACATTTCTGATGCTGCTCCTGAATCAGCATTTAGCAAACTTATTTCTCAAAGAAGCCAGACCCTTCCTCTCTCCACTAACAACACACACTCAAGACAAGGGCTCACCCTTCCTACCCAAGGACATTCCTCCTACAGGACCAGAGTGTACTTCCTGCCTACTATGTCTGGAGATGCCCAATTTAAAAGGAAGCATCATATTAAAAACCTCATGAATCCTGCCTTGAGAAATTCCAGCTCCGGTCTTTTGCCTGGGCTCAGCCTCCTGCCCACTGCACCTGCTGCTCATCCTTGTGACCACTGAACCCACTACAGCCTCAATTTGTTTTCAGCTGATTCTCTTGATTGTTTTCAGTTCCTTCRTCTCAACCCTCATACCACAGATCTCGGGATTTCTCAGCACATCCTTCATTCACAGGGTTTTCAGAGTTAACAAATAAAAATACAAGGCTCCCCATTAAGTTTGAATTTCAGGTACATAACAAATTTTTATTTTTTAGTTTAATATAATATTTTATTTGGGACATGTTTATACTAAAATTTACTTGTTACTTATAAAATTTATTTGTTCAATTTCAAATTGKACCAGATATCCTGTGTTTCACCTGGCAGACCTATAATCATTCACTCACTCATTCATCAAATATTTATTGAGCACCTGCTATGTGTCCAGTGCAATACTAGGTTCTGGGAAAGTCAGCCAAAATGTCTTCATATTTTGCAGTAAATATGCTCTTATCATATATGCATATGGAATATATATGCTTACAAATGTATAGACTTTTTTTTAAAGAGAGAGTGAGAGGGGGAGAGAGAGAAAGAATTTTTAATATTTATTTTTTAGTTTTCGGCGGACACAACATCTTTGTATGTGGTGCTGGGGATCRAACCCGGGCCGCACGCATGCCAGGAGAGCACGCTACCGCTTGAGCCATAACCCCAGCCCATGTATAGACTTTTTCAAATAAATACTTTTGAAAAACATTTAACAAGATTATTGATATTTCCTCAGAACCATCTAAAAGACACATATTCAGATCTCCCCTATTGTCTCAAAAACATCTGTACCATTGCATGGTAAATAGGTTTGAATTTAAATCTAAAGAAGGACCATTCGTTGTGTGTGACTGATAAGTTTCTTAAGTCTCTTTTAGTCTATAACAGTTCCCCTCTCCCCTTGTGTGTGATTGAATGTGTGTGCATGTGCTATATATTTGCTGAAGAAATTAGTTCATTCATCTTGTAGAATTTACCATATCCAGAATTTGTACCATTGCTTCCTTATGTCATCAGTTTATTCCTCTATCCCCTGCATTTTCTGCAAACTGTACTTACATCTAAATGCTTGAATAATTAAGATCTAATTTTTTTTTTTTTTGCATCACGTAAGGGTGGACACATAATAATTGTCTCACCTTCAGCAAAGAGAAGATTGGTCATTGAGTTCAGATGCTGTTGATATGATCCAGACTTTATCCTGTATATTTTCAAGAGATCATTTGGCTGCTGATGGAGTCTGGGTTGGAGGAAGGACAGGAGGGGGGAAAAAAAGATCTTGCAGTGTTCCAGGTCAGAGACGATGGTGGCCTGGAACAGGGAAGTAGGACTGAGTGTGTAGGAACACAAAATGTGTGAYAAAGTCAGGACCAGGCCACATGCTAGAAGAGGGAGACCAGCTGACCTGTAAAAGGTACCTGTGGGAGGAGGGGCAGAGGTGGAAAAGGGGAAAGGAGCATGTTTTTTGAGACACWGAAGTGACAGAGCCAAAGTTCACCTAATACAAGTGAGAAATTGGGAGAGTCAAGGGAAGACAGATTGTCAAGTGTTGCAAGAGGCCAGAAATGTGAAGAAACAGAAGAGGAGGAAGAAGGAGGCTATGGTCCCCATTCATGTCATATTCCTCAAGTATTATGCAAGCTTACACTCACTTACCTGAGGCAGGTCTGTAGTGCTTGCGAGAAGTTGTGCAAATTTGTCTGCATGTGTAGTAGGTGTGTTGGGTTCTGCAACTCTGCCCATTGCTGCATTGGGAGATCCATTTCTGCSCCTGCATCTTCACCTGACACTTTAGCACAGCCCCCTGCAGCTCCCCAACCTCACTTCCATCAGAATTCACCTAGCCAGGTACCATTGCTTTCTCAGGGCCCCGTGAAGGAGCTGTTCCTCAGATGAACAGCTCCTATTTCAGCCAGCAAGAGYCTCTTTCAAATACAGGAAGGGAAACCACGATGGGAAGAGGAAGCAGCCGCAGACCTGCAGGGAAGATATTCCAGYCCCTGCAACTCCTTCAAATAGCAGAAGTAGAGAATATTCTCAGTCTATATGTAAACCAAGTACCAAGGCAACTGACATGCCCAGGGACATAGCAAGTTAGAAGCAGCAGGACCCTGGCTGTGGTCCTACAGACACCTATCCAATTTTTCTGTACCACATCACACCACTTCAAACCTGGACTGCAGTTACTGTCCTGTTCCTTTACAGGTTGGTCCTGGTATGACAGGGTACAGGGGGGAAAAAAGGAGGGGCCTGCCAGTCCATCCCATCAATATCACTACAGCTTATTTACCATCGTACCAAAAGATYAGTAGGTGCAGTAAGAGAAGGGAACCTGGGTCAAAGTCATGCCAGTGACAGAGCCAGAGGGCCTGGTATGACAGTTCCACAGTCATGTGCCACATCAGGACATGTTGGTCCACATGGACCTAGATGTGAGGATGGTCCCATAAGATTAYATTGCCAAGTAMCGTCATAGCCCTCTTAGTTTGCATAAAAGCATACCRCATTCACACAACAATGAAATCACCTAACAATGTGTTTCTCAAAACACATTCCTGTCATTAATTGATGCATGCATGATTGTTTGTAGTAGAATAAAAGAACAGCTACCACTTTTGAGCAAGATTCTGTGCCAAGACTTCTCATGCATTATCCTATACCCTCACAATATTCCTGCAAGATGACTATTATGACTTACAATTTACCTACAGATAGCTCAAGTTCAGGGAGATGAAGTAATCCACCCTAGGTCAGAAAGGTATCACTGGCATGGCCAGGATTTGAACTCAAGACTATTGGACTAAAAGCCTGAGTTGTTTTCCAATATGTCTATTGGCTATGAATTTTAACCCAGTGGCAGACAAGTAGAACTGGGCTTTCTAGCATTAGAGACAAAAAAGGTAAATRTAGTCCTTAACCTATAACAGAAAAAAAAGCAAAGAAGATTATTAGCAAAAAATAAATGTTTTCCTAGCAGGAAACTAGAAAGAAATTACTTTATGAAAGCTTGACCAGGAAAAAAATTGAAAAAAAAAAACCAGTTCATTATCTCTATTTAATTATTTGGATGGAAATCAAGATGAAACACTTCCATTCCTGCCATTTTAGAGCGTGTTCCATGTTTATAAAGCATGCCTGTGAACAAATCACTCTCCCACCAAAACAATGACAATGGAAAGCTCTCCATTGCCTCCATCAGTGCTTTTCAAATTTGTAATAATAATAACAACAACAAGAAGATGTTTTTATGAGATGAAATCTTACATGGAATTCCAAATAGAGCAGGAAATAGCATCAAACCTAGACAAACTAAAGCAGAGGGCACAGGACAAAGGAGAGAGGAAGGGAAGGGTCAGTGGGCTCAGACATTGACTGTCCTCCCCCTTTGCTCACCCATCCTCTCCCAAGAAGACCTTTCCCCCCTTCCTCAGCCCTATGGCTGCTTTTGAAAGGTAYTGATTGACATGAGAAAATGCAAAGCTGTATTGCTGATGTTCAAAGGCCTCCACAATCCAGTCCTGATTTATCTTCCCTCCACTATGTCCAGGCATCCCCTCCTGATGCCTGCCATCCTCACACTACTCTTCAAACAAGTCCCCCACTCTACTCCCTGTACATTCAGTTCTTAGCCCACTGTCTAAACCTTCCATCTTTCAGGAAGCCCTTACTGGCTCCTMTGTTTGAAGCTGACCTGCCTCTACCGGATGTGCTGGGCTACCCACAGTCTTCATTACAGCTCTGATCTCATTCTCTTCCTTTGGAATCAATGCTCATCTCTCTGTTCCCACCACAGTCAGACTGTGGCTATTCCATCTCTGCTTTATCCCTGGCTGCCCAGCAAAACAGAATAGGTGCACAGGAAGCGTATATTGTTTTCACCCTGTCTCTTACCCTACAAAGAATCAATGTCACCACACAGAGAAGGAAACATGTGGACTTTGTCGTTACAGCCCACCATGTGCAGCACCAGCACCTGTGACCTAGAAGACATCCCCCTGGAYGATGATGACCCCAACAGCATAGAATTCAAAATCCTGGCATTCTACACCAAACACCACGTCCTCAAGAGCGCCCCTGCTGTCTTCTCACCCAAGCTGCCAAGAACAAGAAGTTTGTCCCAGAAGGGACTGGGGAGTTGGGCAGCGGAGTCATGGACCCAGATGCCATGGCCTTGCAGACAATCTTCATCGAGTGAGAAGCCCATACAGCTTGGCAAGAAAAAACCTTCTTGGAAAACTCTCTTTGGAGGAACGGAGAAGGAGGAGAGTCCACAGAGTTCACCTCAGATCTGTTTTCAGGGCCCCGTGGAAGTGGCAGCTCAGGGTGGTATCCACGGTCAGCAGTGGTCCCGGTCCCTTTCCAGTGTGGAACGGCACCTGGATAATGGAGGTAAGCTTCGGGAACTTTTTCTCTCCCACACCCAAATCTTTCCCCTCTGTCTGTGCACAACAACTCATCTCTCCCACGTGGGAGAGACAGGCCTTGGGGCACTCCTGCTGCAACTTTCCAATTGGGTAGTATTCAGTAATAATTGCCCCACTCTGCTCGAGACTGCAGGAGAGGAAGAAGATGGCAGTGAGGAGTGCCGGGACTGGTTTCCTGGCTCCACTGTCAGTTAATAAGCTTGCTGCTCACATGCCTAATCCCCTGAGCCACACAGCCACAGGGAAGAGCCCTGGCCAGGGGCCGAGGCTGCCTCCCTTCCCAAGTTAGCTGACCTCTTAGGCCCTGCACAGGGTTTCCGTCTGCAAAGATGCCCACACTTGAACAGAAAGCCCCCTGGATTGCCCTGGGTAACTTGTTGATAAAGAGTCAACAGGTGGCAGTAATGTCTCGTTTTTAAAATACGATTGTCCTGATTTTCTTGGAGAATCAGCCCACAAGTGAACAGCTTGAGAAAACCTGTTAGGATCAGGGAAATGTCCACTTCCTGTTAGACTTGTAGACGCCTAGACCAGGGAAGATCAGGGTCAGGACTGCATGGGGGACCTTTTTGCACAGGTAATATGAGGGCCTGGCCAAAGGAAATGCAGAACCTGGACCTCTCAGAGATCATCCTTAGGCCTCTGTCTAACCTTCACAGCAGGGCATCTGCGCTCTGCACTCTGTGCAGCTGAGGGTGGCAACCGTGGTGACTCTACTGGACCAGTGTGTGTGTGTGTGTGTGTGTGTGTGTGTGTGTGTGTGTGTCTGAACCCTGCAGCAGACAGAAAGGCCTTCAGGCCTACCATGTGGATTGTGCCAGAGACCAAAGGTCTCCACAGACTTTCACCCTTAGACATTTCCTGGGATAAATGACATTTTGTATTTTGGTATTTACTAAAGAATCACATGCCCTTGTTTAATTTTCTGAAGTTTCAAAAGTAGCTTCTTTGCTTTTTTTTTGGGGGGGGGAGGGGGGTAGGTTAATAAAATTAACTTTTATTTGAGATTAAGAATAAAATATTAAATTTAAAAAGCAGAGGGTTTATAAGCTGAATAATATCTATGGCTAAAATACACACACACACACACACACACACACACACACACACACACGCGCGCACACAAATCTCCTAAGGAAACTTTGCTTTAAACACTTATGTACAGCTCATCTTCTCTTCTCCCTTTTCTTTCTCCTCCCTTTCTTGTTGAGTTAATTATGTGGTTTTTATGTTAATTGTGTTGGTTTTACTGGGTGTGACCCAAGGGAGCCTCACATTCTGTTTCTGTGTTGCCACACATCAGGCAGAGCTTAGTTTCACCTGGTTCTTTTAACTAAAGGCTACAACATAACCTTGTGCTGCCTCCAGTACTCAGATCCAATCTTCAGTGGCAACAGTGAGGTACATCCCAAGACCAGAACGTTCTGGTGAGAGTTCTCAAGATGTAGAGAAATGGAAGTTAACACGTAGCTTAACCTATCAGCCCAGGTTCTGTGACTTGTGAATCTTGTTTCTCTACAGCTCTGATTTCTTATGTGGACTGTTATAGTTAAAATTAGGTTCAGGGCTGGGGTTGTGGCTCAGCGGTAGAGCGCTTGCCTAGCATGCGTAAGGCCCTGGGTTCAATCCTCAGTACCACGTAAAAATAAATAAATAAAATAAAGGTATTGTGTCCAACTACAACTAAAAAATAAATATTTTTTTTWAAAAAAAGATTAGGTTCAGCAAGATAGAGTGGAAAATCCACACAATTATGGCTTAGATAACATAGAGGTTTACTTTTCTTTCCCATAAAAGAAGACCAAAGCGTGGAGGCCCAAATCTGATACGGCTGCTCCATGAAGTCATTAGGGATTCCTAGGAATTCTGCCCCGCCTTAGCTAGTGACTTCCAAAGTAGCTGCTCAGATCTCAACCAGTCTATCTACATTTTAAGCAGGAAGAAAAAGGAAACRAGGGAAGGTCCCAGGTGCCTGATTTCTAGAAAATTTAGCTAGATAATTCAGAGAGCCTTCTTGAGACTTCTCCTTATATCTCATTTGTCACCCACTGCTGCAAGGAAGGCCGGGATATATTTGTTTGAGCTGGGTACCACAGCTGCCTTTCACATTTTCYGAGACTATTACTAAGGAAGGAGAATATGGATGCTAAGTGGGAAATAGCAAACTCTCTATATGGAAATCACACCCCAATTSCCTGCCCTTTCTCTTTAAAGCTAATGTCTCAGGTCAAGGACTGAGAAGCACCTTCCAAATCCTGCTCTCTGCTCTTCTTGGCCCCACAATATCCTCCAAAATAGACGCTCGAGGATGGACAGACTTTCTGTTCTCTCCTCACCCCCATCCAATATTCCTTACTTATCCGATAGGACCATATCTAGAATCTTTCCTCCCTTCATTTTTTTTTAAGTGAAGGTATTCTGGATGGGAATGTTAGCTAGTCCATCTGAGAAAGTTTTCATCTAACTTGATCTGAACATATTTCCTCTGCATCGTCCACTCATGTTCACAGATCCACAGAAATGAGCACACTAGCTACAGGTTAGTCTAATAGGCACTGGGTACTCCTAGGCCTGCTGGTGAAATTGAGATTACCCTGGTTGTGCTAAAAGGGATGAGGAACAGCCTTTGAGGCTCTTCATCAGCCTGGCCCCTCATCATGAAGATGGACACAGGGTGACTTCAGGTGGGAGAATCACACACGATACCCCTAGAGAGGCTGTGCAAGGTAACAGAGGGAGCACACGTTAAGCCGTCCTGTCTCACCTCCCGATAAGACTGCACACTTAGCTTGGGAAATCAGCTTCTTGCCATTTCCTTGTCAGAGGCCATGGTAGCCAGTGTGGAGCAGGAGGTTCGTTTGGCTGCAATAAGGTGATTTTAAAGTGGGAAGTACATTTGGTTTGGTTGTTAAAATGAGAAGGAAGAGTATTGACCCCTTTCCCCTTGACTTCTCTCCAGTTCACTCCTTACCAGTTTTTGAACCCTGTGGTTTGAGCATGAGGAATACCACTTTTTTAAGCCAGGTGTCCACCTACGGAAGGCTTGATAGATAGAGCATTATCTCCATGGTCCTCTGGTGAGTGGCCAGTGAAGGCAAAGGAGGGCGCTGAAGCTCTCATGCTAGGGAAGAATGCCAGGGACAGAGGATTGGAGATTGTCTTGGCAGCCCTGCCTGTTTCTCTTAGGACACATTCCTCCCAGGACTTAGGCCTTGTCTCTTATCTATCATGATTTACAGAGTCTAGGATTTCCCCTGGGTATATCAATCTTCTGGCCAAAACTCTACTCCATGACTATCTTCAAGTCTTGTGAATAATAAGCTAGTGTTATTTTTCAAATAAGACATGATACAACTCAGCTGCTCCATATGGCACCAAAGACAGAACCTGTGCAAGCTTCTACCAGTTAAGAACTTAGTGACACATCAATAAGGAAAAGTTTACTACCCAACAAGTTAGCCATGTACCTGCCCACCACGCTCTACCCCATCCCCAACCAGGTATAAAGTTGACTTGTCTTTGGCCGGCTACAACATTCAGGGGGTCAATGCCATGTAAACTTTCCTGTTCCCAAATGCTTTATTCTATACCTCTGCCTGCAAATGCACAACCCTTTTCATGGATTATAAATTCTTGAAGGATGGGTCGTACTCTGTGTRTCCTTGTTTACCCCTAAGCGTTAATTGAATGCTTCCCAGTGGACATGGAGGAAAGACATGTGATTTTACAAGCAGGTGGAATTAAGTGTTTATTTAATAATGAATTTAGGCGATGAATATGGCCTAACGTCTGGGACATTTCCCAAATCAAAATAAGATAAAGAATAAAACAAAATAAAGAATAAAAAGAATAAAACAAAATAAAGAATAAAAATAAAATCATAATGAGCATTCCATTAAAACATTTCCTTTTGTGTGTCTTCCTTTGCAAAGGGGAAAGGGGACCATAATTTGGAAAACGTCAGAATGGGATACAAATAGGTAATTGTTACAAGGGGACAATCATTCTTCTGAATATTCCTCCTGCATCCCAGCTTCTGCCAGGCAACTGCCAGCCCTTTCTGAAGAATGATCCCTACACACACACACTCTCTCTCTCTCTCTCTCTCTCTCTCTCTCTCTCTCTCTCTCTCTCTCTCACTCCTGGGCAATTTCTTCTCATTCTGGGGTGACCTCTTCATTCCAGGAAACTGCATACCAACGAGCCAGATGACATTCTGGGAAAGGCCACTCAGCCCCATTTTCTCTTGTTTCAGATGTGGACCCCAAAGTTGCTTCCATTGCCAACCGAGTGGCTGACATTGTTCACTCCTGGCCACCATCAGAAAGGACCCGCCTCCGGGGAGGAGGCTTGGAATTCAAAGATAAAATTGTGCGACAGGGTCGTCGTACCCAAAAAGAAAGCTTAAAATTTGTGCCACAAGGTTCTCGTACCCCAAAAGAAAGCTTAAAAGTTACAGGTACAAGTTCTAAGCAAGGTAAATCTTCCTTCCGTGTGTTTGTGTTGGGTGAGTGTGCCAGGCAGAGGTATACAAGTATTCATGTGTTTGTTTAGCTCAGCGCTCTGAAACTTGCAAGTCTCAGCAGACCTGCCAGCAACATGCTCTAGGCACTGAGCTACAGTTTGAGAACTGCCCAAGGCACGGGGACTACACCAACATGATGAACCCACATGCAGAGCTCACTGCTGAGTCAAAAAGTCTCCTTGCAGTGAAAGAGGAGGAAACACGAAGTGTGCGTTCAACCTTGTCCTGGTAGATGTGGGATGCCTGATTAGATTGGACCCTGTTACCAATGGCTCTGGACCAGTTTGCACTGGATAGAGTTGGAACATCAACCCAGAGATTTAAATATTGCTTTGGGATCCTATGGAAAAGGAGGGGTCTGTCAAATAGCAGGTCTGGTGAAGAACATGAAGCAAAACTGAGAAGTAGTGACCAGACTAGGTCAGTTGTCACCAAGACCATAGCAATAGCTGTAGCTAGGGGTATAGGCCCCATGAGACTTATGGCAGCTGGGGACTCTGAGGGGAGAATTAAGGAGAGAAGGACCAAGTGCCACAGGAAGAAAAGCTGGTTCCTGCCTTTCCTTACCAACTAGGTTCCTCTCCTGTGATTTCCTCCCCAGCACCTCCCGTGGAGGCTGCAAGGCAGAGGTGGCTCCTGGGTTGGAGGCACCTTCAAGATCAAGGCAGAAGGTCTCCCTGTAACTGCTGGCACCCAGCAGTGGCTTTGTCCACCTTCTGCCCTACTGTGGGGCACACACACACTGCCACTGAGGCTTTGGGTGAGGAGTTGGAGGAGAGGAAGAGCCCTCTGAATCTGCCCAAAAGAAAATGTCGATACTTTATGGCTATCTCCAGTGCAGGAAGTGATGGGAAGTGATCTCCTACACCAAGCGGAAGCGAAGGTGCTCTTCCTCCCCCGGGAAGAATCCAGGGCTCTCCCAGAGCAGCCTTCCCAGAGGAAGGCAGCACCAGACTGAGCAGTCTGCGCTTGCTGCTCTCAAATAATGTGAGCCCCAGGTGTCCTGCTCCCCTCTCCCTTCACCAGACTGGCCACACCGATTCCCTGACCTCTCTTCTCTGATCCTCTTAATAAGTGGACAAATGTGGATTCCGTGACCTCAGGATTGGGCCATAAGTAAGAAATACTGTTCTCTCAGTAACTGGCCTTTCTCTGTTTGGATTTTATTCTATATCAATGACCATTTTTTTTKSYTTYYTTTTTTTTTTTTTTTTCCGTCTGTACTTGGGGTCAAGACCCCAGGACCTCACACATGCAAAGCCAATGCTCTACCACTGAGCTACACTTATTTTGAGACAGGGCCTCATTAAATTGCTGAGGCTGGCCTCGAACTTGTGACCCTCCTGCCTCGGTCTTCTGAGTCCCTGGGATTATAGGCATGTGCCACCATGCCACACCTCCAATGACTTTTCTCATCGTGTTTGTCAGCAAGTTGTGAGACAAGAAAAATCAGTCTGCTTCCCTGGTTCTAACTCTACGCTATGCAGAATGATAGCCATTTTCAGTCTATTTACCACTGGAGACTTGGGGATGGGAGGATTTATTGATTTCATTTATTTTATCCCACCTCGTTGTAGAGACATGGCATATCATGTTTACATTCCAGTCAGTTAAAAATCAATCAAATTTCAAAGAGCATATAAGGAGAAAAAAAAAATAGGAAAATAAGATGGGTTTAGGAATTAGGTTGATCCCCAAATGGAGGACAGAAGATTTTTATCTTCCCTTAGATCTGAGCTACAAATTTGGCTCTTCCTGGTAGATGATACAAAGGTGAAAATATGATCCAGTATGGAATCTGTGGTGTCCATAAGGAAAAACATCATTGCTAAAGAAAGGCTACAGACCAGAGGGACGGCTGGGGTGTAGGTCAGTGGTAGACTGCTTGTCTAACTTGCATGARGCCCTGGGTTTGATCTCCAGCACCAAAAAATACATAAAATAATAAAACCAAAATAAAAACCAGAGGGAAATTTTTTTCTAATATCTTCATAGGATCATGTATCTTCAACAACATTCTTACAGTCAGAGGGGTGGGGAGGGGCTAGTGGGCAAGGAAAGAAAGGACTATAGAGGAGTCTCAGATGGTTTGTGTCTGATTAGAAGAAGYAAGGTAAAATTTATTAGCTAGGAATTAGAAATCACTCCTCTTCCTTGATTCCAAACCAAGCCACAAGCATCACCACTGGGAAAATTTAAGATTATTTTGAGTTTTTCTCTTCCTTTTTAAATTTTTTTTAAATTTTATGTGGTGCTGGGGATTGAACCCAAGGGCTTGTACATGTGAAGCAAGCATTCTAGCAATTGAGTTATATCCCCAGTCCCTATTTTGTGCTTTTCTTGAAAGAAATAACTGCCATTTTCCCCTCAACAGATGGAGAAGACGAAATAATATCCAAAATTGTTGAGCTGCTGAAATTTTCAGGCGATCAGTTGGACAGAGAGGTATGAAGTACCTTGAACTAATGAGATTTCTTTCTCTTCCATGTACCAGTGCACAAGAGTAGAACTGTACTCCAGGTTGTAACCTTATTCCTTTTCAAAGTTCTGGTTTCCACTGAGTCCTAAATTTTATTTCCCTTGGAGTCCACATTCATGCTGGCTGCATCTCAAAAATGAATCACTTTGGAAAACATAAGTAAACTTTCTGGAGCCTCCCTGGAATTTTTGGAAACTAGAAAAGTAGCTGTGTTATTGCAAGAAAAAAAAAACACCAGTAAATTAAAATTTGCTGAATAGGATTATTAATCTCATTCCCCATGTAACTGATCCTCAGTGCTGTTTAGACTCTCCCATTTGCCCTGCAGCCTGGATATCTATGTTCCACAGGGGACCAAAGGCTGAAGACTTCTGAAATCATCTCCCCTACAGTTGCTGAACTATTTGTGGTCTGCTTAGAGTCTTCTCCTAGYCATTTGGCCAGGGAAGCAGGACAGTACCACTTGGAGAACTTGTAGACTTCCTGCCATTTCCAAGTTGAGAACCATCTTTCTAATCAGGAATCTGTGAGAGTTGCTTTCAGAGAAAGGAGATGACAACCCCCCCCACACACACACACACACCCCAGTGTAATCACAGAGCTTCTCTTAAGAACGCCATCTCTTCTGTGTCCATTTCCCCCAAGCTAATGCAACATCTGTAGGGGCTGTCAATCAGGATCCGGCCTGTAGATGTTTGCCTTTGTTTTGCCAGGATCTATGGGGAGGAAGTCAGGCCCAGGGMAGCTTCTGCAGTAGGGGGAGACAGCAGGAACTAGTGGGCCACCCTACTCAGTCACAGCATGTTAACAGCTCTTCTCATCAGCTTTGTCAGAAGTGTGCCCAGAGGATGATGACCAAGAGGGTGAAGGGCCTGGGAGATGGTACAGAATGAAAAACAGGGGTATTGAAAGTTGCAGAATGAAAAACAGATGTACCAAGCTAAAGAAAAAAGAACTGCATGTGTGTGAGCTTCGGGGCCACATGGCGAGGTGGGCACATGCAAAGGAAGCAGGGACTGGAACGTGATACATGATTGGAGGACAACTTGAGTTTCTCCAGAGCCAGCATTATGGATACAGAAGTTACGGGGCAATTGATTTCTTCCCATTGGAAGAATGTTTTTAGTTCTCAAGGCCACCCCTCAGGGTCAAGGGCTGCCTGTGAAAGGATGATATTGTCACTAGAATTGCAAGTGGGTGCCAAAAACTAGCCAGCAGTTCAGACCTGAACTAGGACGGCTCCTTTACTCCAGAGGATTTTACAACCCTGAAACTCTGACTTGGCCACCTCCTCTTCCTGGMTTCTGAAGGCAGAGATTTGCAGTAGCCAAGCTGAGGTCAGGGAGGGGTGGTGTGAAGGTAACCCTTCTGGTTAGGAAGGAAGAGGCTTTCCTTTCCATCCCATAAATTCCCACGGTCAGAAACCTCACTTTGCCTGATGCTTTATCTTCTTTGGTGGTATTTTACATTATTTATTTAGAAACTTTGGTTCTTATTCCCTTGGCATGTTTACCCAATTGAAGACTTTGGTGGKAACATAAGGTAGGTGTGACCTTGTTTTATGTGGCCGTGAGTTCCCACTGTATGGTGGGAAACTGACACTGAGGAGGGGCGACCAGCCCTGGCTGCAGAGCATCTGCAAAGAAGCTCTCCTGAGAGGCCAGGGCCAGGTGTGACTGAGAGGGGACAGAACAGGGGAGGTGCTCTGCAGAAGATGTTTTCTTTCTGGCATCTGATTCTTTCACTGTTCCGGCAGACTTCAGACTTCCAAGTGCTGGCTAAGGTTTTGAGCCTCACTTCTTTGATTGGGCCACTAAAGAAGAGTCCTTTCTTTGTGTAGGAAGTTGGTCATTCCTGCTCAGATTTATAACTCAAATAGGACCCTGTGTCTCTGAAGTTGGGAGGAGAGCTTGGCTCAGGTAAAGGACACTATTGACCAAAATCTTCATATAGCATCTGACTCATTCCCCAGCTACCCCTGTTAAATATTTGCTGAAAATCTATTTAATGTGCCATTCCTCAAGGACAGAACTAGAGGATTTTCAAATAAGCATTTAGTGTCTGCTTATTGAGAAATCTCTGTTTTCACTTGGCAATCATCATACTAACAGACATTGCAGGAGGTGAAGCACAGAGATACTAGGCTGTAGGAATGGTGGGAGGTAGAAAAATGGGAAAGGAACCAATGGATTTGATTTTTTAAGTGAACATGTGTACTTCAGGGAGGCTTCCTGAAACCCCCAGCTCCCACAGAATCCTGAAAAATGATTGGCTTGGCATGTTGGTACATTACCTGTAATTCCAGCTACTCTCAAAGCTGAGACAGGAGGATCACAAGTTTGAGGTCAGCCTCCGCAACTTATTAAGAACTTCAGCAAGTCAGCAAGACCTTATCTCAAAATAAAAACTAAAAATAAATAAATAAAAAGGCTGGGAATATAGTTCAGTGGTGGAGTGCACCTGAGTTCAATCCCCAGTACTGCTAAATAAATGAAAAATTTAAAAAGGTCTAGGGGCATGGCTCAGTGTTAGAGCACTTGCCAGGCGTGTGCAATCCCCAGTCTCTCTCTCTGTCTCTTCTCTCTCTCTCTCTCTCTCTCTCTCTCTCTCTCTCTCTCTCTCTCWCACACACACACACACACACACACACACACACACACACACAAAGATAATTCCCAAAGCCCTTGCTCCACATCCAGCACTATGCTAAGTGTCCTACTCAGTTACCCTGTGTTATAGGTGCTATCATCATCCTGGTTTAGAGATGTCAAAACTAAACCTGAAAGGTTAGTAACTTCCCCAAAATTGCACAGCAARGAAGAGAGGGGCAGAGGTTTACAAGTCAAGACAGTGACTTCTGAGCTTCAGATCCTGTCCATTTTTACCTCTAGTAAAGCACTTACCTCTGTTTTATAGTTGTAAGTCCCCTGAGTAAGGGCCCGAGTCTCAATTCTCCATGGTCCCTGTCCACTGTAAGTGCTCGAGAAATATTGTTAAATGTTGAATGAATGGACTGTTCAATTTAATCACTTCTTTGTCCAGATGAAATGAATCCACAAAGCAGATCCATGCCTTTGTCTGGTTCTGTGGGACATTGTACCATGATTGAGACCAGACTCAAGCCTCTTTCCATTGGTTTCTTTTTTTTTCTTTATTTTATGTATTTTTTTATTTTTATGTGGTGCTGAGGATTGTACCCAGGGCCTCACACGTGCTAGGCAAGAGCACTACCACTGAGTCACAGCCCCAGCCCCTCCGTTCGTTTCTGTAGTGGCCCACATTGAAGCTAGAGAGTAGCCTTCTGTCTGCTTCAGTGAGCCAAGTTGCCACTTTAGTGACTGCTTCTCCTCTCCTACACAGTTGAAGAAAGACAAGACTTTGCCAAGCAACCTCCAGGATATTATGTCCTACTCTGTTTTCAAGACGATCACAGACCAGTTCTTAGGGAATGTGGACACCAGAGGAGAATCAGAAGTAAAGGCACAGGGYTTCAAGGCTGCCCTTGCCATAGACGCCATAGGCAAGCTCACAGCCATTGACAACCACCCAATGAACAGGGTGCTGGGCTTCGGCACCAAGTACCTGAAAGAGAACTTCTCACCCTGGGTTCAGCAGCATGGTGGATGGGTAAGTGCATTTCTATTTAAAAAATGATTCTTCTATGAACTCAGAAGGAATGAGATGGAAAAGGTTCTTTTGGTTTGGGTTTGTTTTTAAAGTGAAGGGAACACATCTGTGAAGCAGTTCTCATGGATTTAGGACACTTGAGTGGCAAGAGATAGACACCATTGATGGAAACATACTTTTAGTGATTATCTTCATCAACCATAAATATTTACTGAGTTCTCTCAGGGTATGCGGGGGGCGGGGCTGGGGGTGCCAAGAGACTGGTCAGATAAAGCAGGAAATGAGGAGATGCTGAGATATTAAATGTTTAGATAGATGTAATTTCTGTTTTCACAAATTCTGAAGGCAGCGGAAGTCTGGAAGTGAGACAAGGGTAGGGAGATGGAGCCTCACGCTCCCTGATACAGACTGTGGGGGCTAATCCTCATGCAGAGATTCAGAGGTCACGGTATTTTGTCATCACTACTTTGACCCACTCACTTTGACAGGGACATTGAGATACAAACCAAAAGGCAAAAGTTAAACTTTCATCTATTTTTACTTATCCAGTATCAATCAAAACTGACATCTTCTCCTCCTCCATCCTTTATCCCTGAGAGCTCCTTAAAATGGCCATGTCTAAAAGCTACCCTTTGCTATATCCCGGAACCTTTGATCCCAGAGGCCCAGGAGGACAGGACTTTGCTACACATTATCATTAATCCTCCTTCCATGAGAATGGTCCAGGGACCACAGGAAGCTTGAGTTCACACTAGGCATGCTCACAGTGACCCTGGGACCTCCAAACAGGCTTAGTCTCTTGGGTATTGGAAGAAAAGTGCAGTTGATCTTGCCTCCAGGGCTAAAGTGCCCACTATGGTCTTCGGTGGCTGCCCATTGGGATTACCTAGTCTACTGTTCCTTTCTGTCTTCCACTTTTGCACTGTGCATACATAAGTGTTATCATATATAACACTTAAGTGGCTGATTTGAACAACTAACCCCCTTATGCATTGTAAATCCAAGCTGCCTTAACCCATTCTGAAAGGAGTGCAGATTCCTTGACAAGACTTTGGTTCTCCCTGATCTTCCTCCCTGGATCCCTTCATGGGATCTGACGTGGCCTCATCAGTCTCTGGCTGTAACACTTCATGGCTGCAYGACAGTAATATACAACGATCAAATTCCCAGCCATGCTTCAAGTGTTCATTTTTAAATCATCATTGGTCCTATTACTGCATTTCTGTGAAGAAATGATAAGTATCAATTGGGTTCACAGGCCACCTCTCTTAAGTCTATTTGACTCATTAATGCTGCTGAAATGTCATAAAAGTTCCATTTTAAAAAAAAATTAGTGGGCTGGATGCTGTGGAACAGGCCTGTAATCCCAGCTACTCAGGAGTCTGAGGCAGGAGGATTGCAATTTGAAGGCCAGCCTGGGTAATTTAGTAAAACCCTGTCTCAAAAAGAAAAAAGGAGAGGGCATAGCATGGTGGCAGAGTGCCCTCCCAGCCTAATCCGCAGTACTACAAAACAAACAGTGGTTGAACACCAAAAGTATAACAACAACAACAAAAAAAATTGGGTTTCATTTTCTGCTTCCAAGGCCTCTACCACCAGCAAAATGAAAAATCATATCTGGGGGTGTAGCTCACTTGTAGAGCATTTGCCTAGCATATGTGTGGCCTTGGGTTCCATTTCTAGAACTACAAAAAAACAAGAAATGAAACCCCACAGTGTAGGGAAAAGAAATACTTGCAAATCATATTTTAGTAATGATATATTCAGAAAATGTAATCAGCTCTTCCAATTCAACAACAAAAAGTAATCCAATTTTTAAAAATTTGGCCATTGATTTACATAGACATTTCTCCAAAGAAGATATATAAGTGGTCAATAAGCACACAAAAGATGCTTGACACCTTCATTTCAGCAGTAGGGAAATGCAAATCAAAACCATGATGATCTCTACCCACCAAGATGGCTCAAATAAAAGCTGGTGAGGATGCGGAGAAACTGGAACCCTCAAACACTGCTGGTTGAGTTATAAAATGGTGCAGCCCCTTTGGAAAACAATTTGTCAGATCTCCAAAATGTTAAATACAGAGTTATGAGGGGCTTGGGGTGTGGCTCAGCAGCAGAGCACATGCTGAATGTGTGCAATGCTCTGAGTTCAATCCCCAGTACCACAGGAGAAAACAAAAACAAAAACACAAAGTGTTGCCAGTAGCACTCCTATAACCAAGAAAACTGAAAACACATTTCTACAGAACACTTGTCTGCCAATAGTCATTGCAGAATTGATTATTCATAATAACCAAGAAGGAGACACGTGAAATGTCCATCAACCAATCAATACAACTACATGGTGCAATATGATTCTTCCATAAAAAAGGAATAAAATATTGACATATATTGATAGTATATATATATATATATATATACATATATATATATATACCTTAAAAACACCATGTTAGTAAAGAAGTCAGACCATATGTTGTATGATTGAATTTACAGGAAATGTCCAGAACAGGCAAATTCATAGAGAAAAAAAGTAGATTGTTGCCAGGAGCCGGAGAATGAGGAAATGAGAGTAACTGCTAACAGACATGAAGTTTCTTTTTGGAGTGGTGAAAATATTCTATAATCAGATGTGTTGGTTATGCATATCTGAATATAGTGAAAGCAACTAACTTATATACTCTAGCAGGGTAAATTTTGTGGTATAATTTTATTTCAGTAAATATAAATAGTGGTTCTCATTCTAGTTATCAAAAAAGGAAAGAAAAGTGAATACAAGTATTTTTATTATTTTAATTTGGCTTCTGGGGTTAGAAAATCAGATGTAGTTAGAGAAAATAAATTCTTCAGTAAAAATGCTAAAGAGGATTGCCCAAGGCTTTAACAATTGATGGCCCTAGTTAGTTCTCTATCCTCTGTAGTTTTCCATCCAAATTTTATGACTTATCCAGGATATCAGAAACCTGAATCTTAACTCTTGGCCATGGTTAGGTTTAATTTGGAACATATAAGTGGAAATTAGAAGAATGAAGAAAAAGAATGTGTGAGAAAGGACTCATTTTTCCAAACTGCCAGAAACAGATTGAAAAAATAAAAAGATGTTTAAAAGAATCTTTATGAGCAGCTATGAACTGATATAAGCTATAAGGGTCTGAAGGAGATGTGGACCTGTGCTCCCTCTCTCTGGACAGGGATCAGGGGASGATTGGCCCCTAGTATCTTGGTGGCTCTCAGTGGTGCACAAGCCTACTAGCAGCTCAGGGCTCCTAACTACCTGAACATCCCACATTTCCTAGGAGGGCATCTAATCTTCCCAACTGAACTGCAAATAAGTCCATGAGGGCAGCATGATGTGTTTTACACCCCCTTTTATCTCCCATGGCTCACATCCTTTTACTTACATCATAGATATTCAACCAATACTTGTGAAATAGTAAAAGAATCAACCAAATGAATGGATAGCAACTCCATCACCCAAGCATGCTAATCAAGCTACCGTGAGATTTTAATTTACTCCTGGCCTCTTTTTCCTCGTGGTGGGGGCACCGTTCATGTTGTTATCCTGCAGTCCACAACCTCTCCTCTTTTCTTTCTGCAGCACTTCAAAAGGAGAAGTTTGCAACCTTCACAGTCATGAACCTTTTGGTACTTTGTTGAATTTTTTAAAAAGGCCTCCAAGCCTTCCCATCTTGGAGAAAAGATCCAGTCTGTTAGCCCTGGATATGTAACATAAGACCTTAGCTAATGTTTTCCTTGCAGGCATACCAAGGATGTCTGTCACCTTTCCAAACCCTCCCCCAACATACTCTTCCAGCCTCAGGTCATGCCTGGGATAAGAGCAGAGTTAAGCATATGTTTTCACTTCAACGGTGAATCAAACTTGGAATTTTAAGAATTTATTTCTCTTTTCCTCTTCTAGGAAAAGATACTTGGGATATCACATGAAGAAGTAGACTGAAATATCAGATTTGTCATCATGGAATATTCATTGTCCAATGGTGGTCCTGTGCACATCAGTCTCAGCAGAGACTACAGGAAAAAATTAAAATGTAAACAGCAGTCCTGTGACTCAAAAAGGCATGGGGAGAGGCTTTGGGCCTCTCTGRCTCACAAGACACAGATGCATGGTCTTGGGCTTTGACGTTGATGATTTTCAGGTCCTTCACTGAGTGTGGGAAGAAGTCTATAAAGATAAGTGGTCATTCTGCTTTCAAACATTCAGAACGRAAACCATCCTCCTGCTTCTGTTAGCTCCTTTGGAGATGTCTGCTGACCTCACAAGGATGAAATGCTAAATCATGCACATGTTTACTTTTTAGTTTCTAGTACTATTTATTTTTTAAACTACACTTGGAATGGTCTAAAAAAATGACATTTCAAGCCTACCTTTAGGAAGATGCTGTTATTTGTATTAGCAGACATAGCTGAAAGAAATTCTTAAATTTACTGTGTCCACTAGTTTGGGGGAGATACAGCTATAGATGCCTTTTTGAGCCACTTTTCTCAAAACATTTTCTGGCAGTTTGAAAGACTTCAATTTAGAACAAAAGCACCATCCCCTTGGCCTTCAACCTGCATCTCCCTGATATACCTCTATTTCACAAGGCCTCTGGAACCTMCTTTATTATTCTTGGTGGTAGCATAATGATTAGTAGCTGGTAAAATAAACACATAGAAAGACTACTGTGGAAAGAGTGTCTTTTGGGTTAACATAATAGTAATGATAYGAGGGTTTCTGTGAAGATCGAATGAGTTAATTTACATAAAGTGGAACAGACCTTGATAGTGTTAAGTGATTGCTTATGTTCCTTAATATGTGTGAGCCCTCCACTAAGCCAAAAATGTACTCTTCTCTCAAAGCAGTCACTGATTTTCTGAAATGGATACTGTTCAGAATGAAGATTTTTAATAAGTGAAATATGTTTTCAATAGTGTTTAAGTCATGCTTTTAAAAAATACTATCATATGATAGGGTCTTACACATTTCTGGATTTCCAGCACCTATGATACAACCTGACATAAAATAGATGCTTAACAAAACTCTGATAAACAAAAAAATAAATAAGTCAATCAGACATACTTTCAGATTCAAGGGGAAGCTGGTTTCCAATAACTTATCACAATGAAGTGCGTTATTCTTCTATTCTGTCATGTGAAAGTCACAAATGTTAGGAATAAAGGAGTCTATTTACAGATGGAGACGCCAAAGACTTCTCCTTCTCCTCCTTTAATCTAACCATGCCAACCTATTTTCCATTTCCAAAATGCAGTATGCAACCTTGCACTTGGAGCCTTCAGAATGAGTGATGTTCTCTCTGCTTGAATGTCCTTGCCTGCCTGCCTCCTTTCCCCCTAATCCAAAAGACTCCAGCCCATCTTTCCAAATTTACTACTTAATTTCTCCCCTGAACCATTTACTAACTCTGCCTTGAATATCATGGGGGCTCTATTTGGATGAGTTTCCTCCTATAAATGTTCCAAAACCCTCTGCATATATATGTTATACTTAACACAAGTRTACCACAAGAACTGATTTTTCCCAGTCTTTCTCAGAGGATTATAAACTCTTGTAAACAGCATTATATCTAGTTTAGCTTTGTATATCTAATGCCAGGCACATTTCTGGCACATAACTGCAGAACCATACCCTAGCCTTGCTTCTATTGCTTGTAAATCAATATATGACTGGAGTATGGCCCAAGATATGCGTAGTCATTACAAGTTCTCCAAGTCTTTCCAATATCATCTGCAGCTTCTAGTCAAGATGAAGTGGTAGTGATCAGATTTCATTTCCTTTCTTGAACCAACTAAATAACAGACAAAATAAATGAAACAAGAATTTTCAAGACATTGGCATTATTACCACCTGGACAGGTGAGAAACTAAGTGAGCTCATACTTTTGTTCTAGAGTATTGCACATTCAGTTTCYGGGCCATGTTAGAGAGAGGGGAACCCACTCAGGGGTCAGCAGTCTTTCTCAGTGGAGCAGGGAGAGCTGGGAGTCCAGGAGGGCCAAAGCAGCCAATGTGTGCAGGGAAGATAAAGGAGAAAAGACTGGCACATGACACTCCAGACGTGCAGATGGTTCCCTTTAAGTCTAGAGGTGAGTACTGATCAGTACATGCATGTGAAGAAATTACCCACGGCTTGGGAAAGAACCTCCTGAAAATATTTATAGGAATATTCTCCAAACTTACACAGAACAGGAGTAGTACCTATTTCAGCAACATGTTGAATACTCAAAAGAATTTCTCCTCAGAAATGTAAAAAAAAAAAAAAATTAGTCTTAAACACTCTTCTGCCTGCTCAGTAGAGACTAAGACCAAAATTGAAAGGATTAAATTTATCTAGTAACTCAATTACATATCAGAACAAAATTTAATAAGTTTATAGGATTGCCAAAAATATCCAACACCCAACAGATAACTTACAATGTCTGGCATATAATAAAAAAAATTACAAGGAATGCAAAGAAGCAGGAAAATGTGATCCTAATAATGAGGGGGGATATCAGGCTAGTGATGTAGTTTAGTAGAACATTTGCAGGGCATGAACATTTGCTCTGGCTTCAAACCCCAGAACCACCAAGGAAGAAGAGAGGTGGGGACATAGAAACCAAGAAAACCACTCTAGAAATAACACCACTTATAAAATTATTAGATAAGGGCACTAAAACTGTTAACTGTAGTCCGTGCATTCAATAAGCCAGAGGAATGATGGAATATGTAAAGTACACATTATAAACATGACTAAAACCACACTTGCAGAGCTGAAATCTATAGTACCTCAGAAGAAAGTACACTGGGGTGCATTAATAGCAGATTAGACATTACAGAAGAATAGACAAGTAATTTGAAGACATAGCAATAGATCCAAAATAAAAGCAGGGGGAAAAAACCAAAGCAACAGTAAATCATAGGACTTCATGTGATCCTGGGGACTGAACCAAGGGCCTTGGGTAGGCCAGGCAAGTGCTCAACCACTGAGCTGTAACCCAAACCATAGGACTTCTAATGGCCTAATGTGTTTGTAAGCAGAGTGAAGTTTCCAGATCTCACAGAAAACTGTAAATCCACAGAACCCCCAAAACTTAGTGAGTGACAAGCACAAAACACATGTTGAAAATGACACCCAGGTACATCACAATTGCTCAAAACCAGTGATAAGGGGGAAAATAATCTTAAAAATAACCAGAGAAAAATGTGTATTGTATACAGAAAAACAAAAACTCAAATGATAGCAAACTTCTTGGGAGACTATATAAGAAAATAGAGTAAACCTCTCTTGTGTGTGTGTGTGTGTGTGTGTGTGTAAACCCCCCTTTAAACGCAGAATTCTATACCCAGCAAAAAGATGGTTTAAAAATGAAGATAAAGTAAGGTGCAGTGGTGCACATCTGTGATCCTAACTACTGGGCAGGCTGAAGCAGGAGGACATAAGTTTGAGCCCAGCCTGGACAACTTAGCAAAATCCTGTTTCAAAATAAAACCCTAAAAGGGACTGGGGAGGTAGCTCAGTGATGGAGTGCCCTGGGTGCGTCCCAAGTACAAAAAGAAAAGAAAAAAAAAAGAAAAGTGCAGCATACCAGAATTTGTTACAGGCACTAGACTAGTACTTTAGCAGAGGGAAATTTGTAGCAGTAAACAGCTACATTAGGAAAGGACAGTCATTCATTAATTACTTAAGCTTGCAATTTATTTATTTTTGGACTTGGGGATTGAACTCAGGGCACTTAACCACTGAGCCACCTCCCCAATACTTTTTTTGTATTTTATTTAGAGAGAGGGTTTCACTGGTTGCTTAGGCCCTCTCTAAGTTGCTGAGGCTGTCTTTGAACTCATCATCCTCCTGTCTCACCCTCCTAAACTGCTGAGATTATAGGCATGCACCACCGCACCCAGCTTAAGCTTGCAATTTAAACTAGAAAAAGCACAAGAAAGGTATGAGAAAGGAAGTTAAAAAGGAGAATCAAAGAGCAGACTATGAAAAAACAATGAAACGAAAAGTTGATTTGTTAGATCAATAAAACCTCCAGCCTGGCTGATTGCGGGCGGCGGGGGGGGGGGGGAAACAAACCAAAACCAAAAAAAATGAAGGTCCAAAATTATTGGAATGAAAGAAGTAATATCTCTAGGTTCTACAGATAATAAAAGGATAGTAAGAGAACACTATAAATATTTTCATGCAAAAATTCAACAACAGATGAAATGGTCACATTTCTTGTAAGACAGAAACTAGCAAAGCTCACTCAATGAAAACAGATTTGGGGGCCAGGCATGGTAGCACACAGCCCCCCTCCCCCATTCTATGGGAGCTGAGGCAGAAGGATCCCAAGTTCAATGCCAGTATGGGCAATTTAACAAGGTCTTGTCTCAAAATAAAAAGGGTTGGGGGCTGGTGTTGTGGCTCAGTAGTAGAGCACTTACCTGGCACGTGCAAGGTACTGGGTTTGATTCTCAGCACCACATAAAAATAAAGTATACAATTTGCTGTTTAAAAAATATAAAGCTCAAACTTCTGAAAAAATAAAATAAAAAGGGCTGGGTGTGTAGCTTAATGGTAGAGCACCCCTGAGTTCAATCTCCAGTACTTGGAAAAGAAAAAAAATAAAATGAGGCTGGGGATGTAGCTCAGAGGTAGAGTGCTTGCTGAGCATAAGTGGGGTCCTGGATTTGATCTCTAGCACAAGAAAGAAAGGAGGGAACGGAGAGAGGAAGAGAAATGTTATAATATTTCAGTAGTTTCTTCAAAGTTTAGCATAAAATAAACATCTATATTGTGACTCCTCTATTTCACTGCTAGGAAGTCACTCAAAGAAAAGGAACACAGACTGAAATTTGTAATATATACAATAGCTTTATTTGTTAAAATCCAAACAGAAAACAATTCAAATGTCCATGATCAGAATAATGTACAAGTAAATTATGGCACATCCATACAATGGAATATTATCCAAT